CGGTACTTGCCTTGGTGGCAAGAGACTACCTTGCGGTCTCAGGCACTACCTGCTCGGCTGAGCGGGTCTTCTCTTCTTCCGCCGATGTTTGCTTGCAGGATCGCGGGGCTCTAGGTCCAACTACTATCTCAAGATCTGTATCGACACGCGAGTGGGTGAGAAGTGAAATCAAAGTAGGAGGTGAATATGGTGAGGCGATGAAATGCATCAAATATTTTCAAGAACAAAGTGAATCTAAAAAGAAAAAAAGAGTTACGATCGAAATTAAAGACTAGTTTTATGATGTTCATCTTGGTTGTAAAGACTACTTTTGTGGTCACGAGTTTCTTTTTGCTTTTGATACTTTTGTTTCTATTCATTCTATTTTCAAGTGGTTTTCTTTTTACAACATTCGTTTATTTTCAACTGGTTTTCCTTTTACAACATTCTTTTATTTAGCACTGTCACTACTCATATTGTCTCCATGTTATGAAAAAAAGTTATGTTTCCATTTTTGGCCCACTAGCTACGATTTCACTGCGCCCGACGGCGCGCTGCGACTGTCTTTATCGCGCCGGGGTCTCAGCGGCTTTTATGATGCCTGCGATAGGACCCAGGAAAGCCCCTACTGAGGTTTCTGACGGAAAAGGTCGGAATTTTGCCTAAATTTTTACCAAGGTTTCTGATGAAAAACGTCGGAATTTGGCCTTTTTCTAAGAGGTTTCTGACCAAAAATGTCGGAAATTCGGCTAATTCAGGGACAATCTGAGGGAAAAAATACCCTTTGTGCCCAGACCGTAGGTCTGGGGTCTGAGCTAGGTCTAGCTATGTACTATGTGGATTGATGGAAGGCTGTGGAAGGATTGATGAAATGTACAATATCAAAGCCGCATATAGCTTATTTATCCTAGAGCTAGTTAGAGCTTCAAGGTTCATATGTACTAGAGATCGATCATCATACTTCTGATCAAACCACTTTTCGAAACCACACAGCGTTCCACCACTACCCCACACTCCACACTACCACCACCAAATCTATCTGCATACAGCAACCTATACCGATCTACACACGGAAAAGTTAAAAAGACTCAACATGCCGCTGCTCAACGATGTCATGAAAGAGGCTTTACGCCTTTTTGAAGGTTGTCCGATGATTGCAACCGCTACTTGCGCAGATGAAATATACAAAACGTTTTCCCGCCCCCCATATTTACCGCCGGAAGATGCAGACGACGGGATGTGGATGACAGCCAATCAAAAACTTGAGGACTTGTTTGGTCGAGATGGTCAGAAGAACATCTTAAAAGGCCCTGAAGGCATTGCTTTGGTCATTGACTGGATCAATAAGGCGCGCAAGCACCCTTCATGGGATTCACCAGTAGACAAAGAACGCAGACTACATAAAAAAGGCAATTTTGATTCGGGATCCGATTTGTTGATTAAGGTCAAATTTGAGCGTATTTGTACAAGCGTTGAGGGTAAGTGTACCTCATATCCTTCTTTGGTCATCTTTCACAGTTCATTCAATCAGGTCCGCTGATACTGCTTCTGTTGTTTCTATCAGAACTTCAAGAATCTCTTCCAACTGGATCTCAACCTGCTCAACCCATACCGAACCGGTCAAATGGAATAAAGCGTTGGATTGTATCAAACTCGACTCTTGATCTCAACGTTTCAGTCGCCGAGGAGCCTAAACCCCCTCCGAAACGACAGCAAAAAGTAGCAGGTGGATCTACTACAATTTTAATCTCATCTGAAGATGAGATTGTATTTGTTAAAAGTAATGTTAAAGGATCAAAAACAGGCAAAAATTCAAAGAAAAAAAACATGATTGATCTATGCCCGCTCTCGAAACCAGACCAGCCTTGCATACGTTGCAAGGTTGAGCCCCACGAAAAGGGTAAGATTTTCACGTGTCACTGTGGTGCGTCACCAGTCACTCTGCGTCGAGGACGGATTGAAGCTGCACAAGTGCACTGGAAAAGTGGTATGTTTTTTTTCTATTTCCCACCTTGAATAATTATTTAACCCGTGCTGATATGCTTGATGATATGTTAATCACCAGCTATGTGTAAGAACGCTACGGCTGCCCTGAGAACCAACACGCTCTTGAGCACGTATTTTGTCAAAGACCCGGCCCTTCAACCCGTCAACAAGAACATCATCGACACGGTCTGCCTAGGTCTTACTGATGAAACCTGGGTTCGACCTCGAGCCACCCAGACGATTGCGCAATTCATGGAGAGCACTTGTACAATCTATTGCGGTATTGACCGACACAAACTCTGCAAAGAACTCTTTGGACCTGATATCCGCGAGAATGATCTTATCCCATCGCAAAAAGCGCAATTTCTTGCAACAATGGACGCACGTGGAACATGGGTGGTCAAGCGAAACGGTGACCGGAATGCCATCTACTCGACATCTTGCGAGAAGACTTTCAAACGACACAAAAAAGACCCTACTCAAACTTGCAAACCATGCCTTGATTTGAAAGAGGTTGACAGTGTGGTTTCAGCTATCAACCATAAATATGCTGACAACGACAACTTCAAATTTACACCCACCACCTTGCTAGGTATCGATACATACCATACTCTTAGGAGAAAGCACTTGGAGGTTGATATTCTTTCAAAATCACTTGAATCTTCGACTGGTGGCGACTTTGGTGATTTTCTCCAGAAGCTATCACTCATGGCTAAGAAGGGACTTTTCCAGAACCGTGAAGCGATGAAAGGCATGATAATGGGATGTTCTATACGTGCCGAGCGCGAGGAGGCAGGAAAATCTCTCTGAGGAATGCGAATTGATGATCATCTTAATGATTGCCTCACCACTTTGGGTGCAATGAGCAAGAGCGCCCTTAAGCTTGTCACCAAAAACTTTGTTGGTAAAACTTTACGATGTCAACGATTGGATCGGGCAAGAAGTAAGAGTCACATCGAAGATGGAATGGCGCAAGGGAACTTCGATCGCGCAGGGGCAATCCTTTCGGAAATCGGATACTCAGGTCCTGTTACAGTTGGATCAGATCAAACGGTTTGTGTCCAAACTCTCCGCCATCATCGTGGATTCATTGTCGGAGCCCAAGGAGGCGACATACCCTTCAATAGTCCAAATGAACTGCAAGGATTACTCGAGAAAATCAGGAAGGAAAATAGTCTGTGCTCCAAAGTAAGTTTTTATACAAATCATGTACTATTATGTACACTAATTTGTCGTATCTATTTGACTACTAGATTCGAGTTTACACAATGCAGGTGCCTCTTCCAAATATTCCGACTCTAGTTGTTGCTTTATTAGCTAGTCAATCTGATGAAGGAGGCGATGATATCGCAACACTCCATGATACGGTCATAAAGATGAGTCAAGCTGCTGGAATCAATGTCTTATCAATTGGTGCAGATGGAGCTGCAAACGAACTGGCTGCTCAGGCCAAACTGAATCAAATGGCCACTCAATTTTTGTCTTATTCGAATAACAATCTCGATGTACACATCAAAGTCCCACTCTTGGGAAATCCGCCAATCCCAATTGTCACCTTACAGGACCCTAAGCATGCTAGAAAGACCGGCGCGAACCAATTATTATCAGGATCACGATTGATAACTATAGGCAAATACGTTGTTTCTCTACAGGATCTCTCCCAGGTTCTACAAACCCCAAACAGTCCGCTCCTTACTAAGGATGTGTTCGATTGCGATAAACAGGACGACGGACGGGCTCTGAGGACCTTCTGCTCTCAAACTGTGGCTGTTACGCTGGCTCGACCTGACTGTTCTGGATTAACTGTATACCTCTACATCATTGGGGAGCTATGCGATGCTTGGTTAAACAAAACAATGGGCCATCGTGAAAGAATCAGAGCTGTGTGGACGGCTGGTTTCTTCTTAAGGGTTTGGAAAGCTCATCTTCTCAAGCGTCAAAAAGAAACAAAAGGTTTAATGAGTTTTCATCTCAATGGAATATCTCATGCAAGCTTCAAGATTTTTTCGAGTCTTGCTGAATCATTTTTAGCACTGATCATTTCACATCGAGAATATTATGGTGATTTCCCTTTTTGTCCATGGAAACATGGAACGGAAGCTTGTGAACACATCTTTGGGTGGATGCGCGTGATATTCCCCAATTTCAGTGTTCTTGATGCCCGCCTCATGATCCCAAAAATCATTGCAGTTGTCAAGAGTATCATGACAGGTAGAATGAAGATGCCGACATCCGAACACTTACATTCAGGGTACCAGATATCTTTAACTGAAGAAAATCCTGATAACCTTGATCATCTGCGTGACTTTCCTTCCAATAAACAAATATCAGAAGATCTTGAAATTGCCAAAAAACGTGCTTTTAGTTTGGCAGAATATTGTGGAATGGTTGAAAACGAGCTTGAAGACTTGGACAATGATGTAGAGGAAATTATCAGATCAAACATTGAGAAAGTTCAAGAAAATTCTCCCGGTAAGCAATTCTAAGCAAAAACAATTTCCACATCTTCTCATTGTGAAACCAACGATTTCTCCGTTTTACAGATATTTCAACTAGTGCTGCCAAAGACTATCAAATAAAATATGGGTTTGAAATGGGGGAATTCCCTTAGGACGAAGCTTTCGAAACAGCAGCTATATTAACAAAAGATCAGAATTTTCTCAATCTCATGCTTGATGAAGTACCCGAAAATCTTGAGGGGGATGTTGTTCAGAATGCTGCGATGTCGATCTCAAATCTGCTCAACTCTAGTGGTATGTCCTACCTTAGCAAGAAATAAAGTATATGATATGAACTGACTCATCTCTTGTAAAGCAGACGAGCCACCCAACACCACAAGTCAAGAATGGACAGTGTGCGAAGATGCTGTAAGCCTGATCGACGGCGAAAAACTTCACCACAAGAACATCATTAAGCTACGGAAAAGACACGATAGTCAAGTCTCTAAGAATAAAGGTAATGATCGGATGCTGACCAACCGTGATGACCTCATCCTTGAGCTCAACTCAAAAACCAACGATGGTGGCATGAAACCGAGTGTTTGCTCAAAGGCCATAGCAGTCTTTATGAAGACGTTTTCTGGAGCTCCAGCTGGTGCCGCACGGCGACACCGGTGGAACATGCATGTAAAGATGAATTTGGCGGGACTTCTCACCAACACCACCACCGAGCGAGCTTTGGACCTACAGCATTTATTTGATGCAGGCTCAATTGGGGTTGAGAATCCAATTGAGCCCGGTAAACTCCTCATATTTATCAAAAACAATGTAAGTGTTCCTTTTGTTTTGAGATCTAGTAAACAATGATTGATGTTTTATCCGCTCAGACATTGCATCTTGCGCGCACGGTAGTTGTCTATGAGTATGTGGCTGGGAAACATGCCTTTGTCACAAGTGCTACATCAAGGAAAAAGATATCACATGTTGGTGTGCAAGTATTATATTACAAGCCAGGGCTTCCGGTGGCACTTGCTACTGATAGGAATGCTCCAGATTCCTGGACCTACGCTCTTTTGGATGCCCCAGATATTGTCTACGTCTTCAAGCCGTCCAATGGTTCAAACTTTGCATTAGTTCAAGAAGGATGTTATTCGTTACCTAGAATCATAATGGAGATGTTGCAAAAAATCGACATCAACAAGCTCATTCAAAGGTACAATGAAGAACGAAAGAAATCAAAGTCAAAGGCTCATGAAGATGATGAATAGTCAACCTTTACTTTTTTTTGCTTCCTCTCCCTCGATAGCTTATCTATCAATTACGCTTTTTATTAGATCACATTCTTTGTTAGATCACATTCTTTATCTATCAGATCATATTCTTTATTGAACCATTTCCTTTCAAATTGTGTTCTCTTTATTACATTTCCTATCATACTCACTACCTCACCCAACTGCTCGCTTATCTATCAACATGAAGCTTAAGAGTATTTGTAAATAAAAAGCATCTCCATGCCTGTTCACGATCATGAACTGACCGATGGTCTACTGCACAGTTCCCAATTGTGAACTGACTGATCGTCTACTGCACAGTTGCCGATCGTGAACTGACTCTGAGAGCCGGCCAACGCGGTTGGTACTACTCCAGCCCCGTGTCGGGCGCCACGGGGCCGGATACTGACCAGAACCTCGGCCTCTGCCTTTTGAGGAGGTTTCTGATGTAAAAGGTCGGAATCTGAGTTTTTTTTGAGATCTGACCGGAGTTACACGCTCAAAGGTCGGAATTTACATCAGAAACCTCAGTAGGGGCTTTCCTGGGTCCTGCCACAGCCCAACCTTGAGTGTCAGGTACTGTCAGATACCTTTTGAAACTTGCATGTTCATCATCAGCAAACATGAGCCCAATCGAAGCAATGTGTGAGATCTGTTTGATAATATGGTGTCACCAAATGACGTCGCAAACTTATTGAGTCGTCTTGACATCAATACCCCCGGTGATGATTTCTCTTACAGGTTGCTTGAAATTGTATGCATCGATATAAAAACTCTGTGATTCATTTTCACATCATCTATGCGCCTATCAAGTCTTGCACTATCCTTGCAAGTAATAGGCCTTCATTTACGAAGACCATTACTTCTTAATCTATGAGATGTATGTAACAGGTGCCCAAAGGCACGACGGCACCTGTTTAGTTCCATCAAAATACGGGATGAGCAAAAACAAAAAGGTCCTCGGTACTCGAAGGAGGATTACCGAGATAGAACCCAAAAGAACCAATGTCGTACCACTAGGACATGGGTACGCAGAGAGGGAAATTTTCCGGTAGAGAAAATTTCCCCACTCATCCCATCTTCACAACACAAATTCGACATTTTCTTCAAGAGGTAATAGTTTGTTCAACACCTCATTCAATTTTTCTTTTAACAATCCAAACATGTCCGCACAAGAATATGCAAACAAGTTAGAAGACATAATGGTGCAACAAGAAGATGGAGGTGAAAATGAAACCCAACAAGAACAATCCAACCAACCACAACACAAAGGAACAAATCAAAACGACATCAACAATCCCAAACCAAACACATCGTCGGCAGCAAGAACTATACACGGAAAGATCAGAAAGGCGAAGGAAAGAAGAGTAGAAGAAAGCGAAAATGATGAGGATGAGGAAGGAGACGGAAATGGAGAAGGAGATGAAGATGATAGGAACCAACAAGTGAAAAAGAAAGCAAGAGTTAGCGATATTGAACACTTGATAAACAGCCCAGTAAACGGAGGAGCTCTCACCGGTCTAGGTTAGCATTTCCTTCGAAAAGGATCTTTTCTAAAATCATATCAATTCTCTTTTACACCGAAACCCCCAATTCTCTTCCCACATTCTCTACTCCCCCCCCTCTCTTCCCTTTCTCTACTTCCCCCCCCTCTTTCTCTCTTTCCTAGCTCTCTTCCTTCAGTCTTCTTCCCCCCCCCTTTTTTTTTGTTTTTGCTTTTTCGCAGTGCAACAAAAGTCTCCCCCCCTTCCTGTTTCGTTTATTGCTATGTCCCGGAAAAAAAAAAAAAACTCAGTAGAGATTCATTTACAAGGAAATCAGAATATGATTGACCCAACAAAGCACGATTGACCAAACATACAAGGGAATCAGTGACAATACTAGTTAAGAGTTGAACCTGTAGATTGACCAAAAATACAAGGAAATCAAAAGGAAATCAGATATTGATTAACCAAAAAAAAAAAAAAAGTAAAGGCAGAAAAACCCTTAAGTCCATAATACATGCCCTGCAAAATTCCCCTTTAGAATCCTCTATGGGAAACCAACGTCTAGTTCCCCTTTTCAAAAAAAAAAAAAAAGAGAGAGAGAGATCAAGTTATTGATTAAATCGATTGTGTTTTGTTTAAAAAAAAAAAAAAAACAGGAAAGCCGGTTGAAGATATGAATGAACCAGTCCATGTCGAGCTAGGACATAAAAAGTGGATTCACAACATACAAGCAGCAGCCTGCAGATTCGACACGAACCAATTAAAATTCTTGAAAGATCAATATAAGGAATGGTGTGAGGAGGAGGACACATCCCCAAAGAAAATCGACTTACAAGATTTAGATTATGAGACCTTTGGAATGTCCTTGTCAACAGCCGGAAACTTAAAGTCGGTAACTAAAGAAACAACGATCTCCAAGAAAGAGTTAAGCACAACAATGAATGTCGGAAATCAAATGACACACTTAGCAACAAAACTATTGAAGTACTGGCATGAAGCAATGATCAATAAAAACATTCACGTACCTGTCTCGATCTTTAGCCCGAAATGGTTGATACAAGAAAACAACTTAAGGTATTACGTCTGTTTCTCTCCCTGATTAAGGATCAAGATCAGACACGGTCTTACTAGAGAAGACTCTGGATGATCGAGAGAAAAGACAATACCTGATTAAGGATCAAGATCAGACACGGTCTTACTAGAGAAGACTCTGGATGATCAAGAGAAAAGACAATCTATAAAAGAGATTGTAACACAACAAATGTTTTGAGTTCGATTAAACCACATGAGAACATAAACAACTAAACAATAACTAACACCTGATTAAGGATCAAGATCAGACACGGTCTTACTAGAGAAGACTCTGGATGATCGAGAGAAAAGACAATCTATAAAAGAGATTGTAACACAACAAATGTTTTGAGTTTGATGGGGAGAAAAAGGACAACATGAGGAAGGAGTTGTTCTATATAAATAAACCCAACGGACTCAATGAGGCGTCATGAAGATAGAAGAGAAACGTATCATAATGCGCATCTAAACAAAACATGTCTTTGCGTGTAATGCGCTTGAGTGATCACTTTGTGATCCTGATTCCCCCCCATCTTCGCAACATCTTGTAAGCCTAATAGAGTGCAAAAGTTGTTGTGTTTGCCAGGTGTGAGTGCTTTAGTCATAACATCTGCTACCATGTTGTTTGTTGGAATGTAATTGATTCTGAGTTGCTTCCTTGATGCTAATTCCCTTAACCAATGATACTTTACGTCTACATGCTTTGTTCTCCTTTTGAATTTTTCGTTCTTTGACAAGGCAATTGCTCCTTGATTATCTAGTTTGAATGATGGTGGATGCTCTTGCTTAATTCCCATACCTTTTATTAACTCATTTACCCATACCACATCTTGTCCTCCTTCATATGCGGACCTATACTCCGCCTCCGTTGTTGACGTTGCCACTGAATCCTGCTTCTTTGAGTTCCAATTTATCGTGCTATTTCCTAATCTAGTAACGTATCCTCCAGTCGACCTCCTTGTGATTGGACACGCTGCAAAGTCTGCGTCAGCAAAGCCATTGAGTTCCAGATTTGAACCTCCTAGTACAAGACTCAGAGTTTGCGTGCCTTTCAGAAATCGTAATACCCGTTTGAAAGCAATCCAATGTACAATGGACGGATTGTTGAGATGCTGGGATAGTTGAGACACTACGAAGGAGAGATCGGGGCGTGTGGCGTTGTTGAGGTACATTAATTTACCGACAGCCCGTCGATAGCTTATCCCCAAGTCGAGAAACTCTTGACGTTCTGATGCTGTTCCTGGTATGAGATAGGTATTAGGAATCATAGGAGAACCTACCGGTTTGCAATCCTCCATCCCATAATCTTCCAGTAAGTCCTGTACGTATTGTGATTGAGATAGAGTGATGGTCTTCATTTTCCAATCCCTTACGACTTTCATACCAAGAATGTACTTGAAATCCGTGTTTTCGTCCATTTGGAACTTTTTGGTGATTGCTGATCGGAAACGCTCGACGTTGTTGGATGTGATGACCATGTCATCGACATGGACATGAACTAGGCATCTCCACGTTGGATCAGACGATATAAAAAGGCTCGCATCTGTTGGAGAGGGAAAAAGACCGATAGTGGCGAGAAAAGCTTTCAACGTATCATACCGGACCTTTGGTGCTTGCTTGAGGCCATACAAGGCCTGATTCAGTTCAAGAACGGTGTCCCACTTCGCATCTTTGACGTTGTACCCTTTGGGGATTTTGATATAGATGACCTCTTTCGGAACTACATTCAAGAAAGCTGCGACGGCGTCCATTTGGATGACGTCTAGATCTTCTTCGGCAGCAATCGTACAAACTGACCTGAAGGTAGCCAGACGGCCTGTAGGTGCGTACGTTTCGTTGTAATCCACTCCAAAATATTGGAGAAATCCAAGCGCACATAACCTAGCCTTGTATTTCAGCAGTTCTCCTTCAGCACCCATTTTCTTCTTAAAAACCCATGTGGTGCCGATGGCGTGCCGGTCTTTGGGAAGTGTGACTACATTCCATACCTTTCTTCTGGTCATGATCATTAGTTCGTTCGTAATGGCTTCATCCCACTTGGTGCTTTTGTTTGACATTAGAGCTTGTTTGTAAGATTTCGGCGTTGGATTAGTGAGAGTGGGAATGGATTTGGTCGATATCGCAGCTGCTCGTCGACGCGATCCTGCTGGAAGAATGTTTGTTGAATCAATGTTGCTGGAGATGTCATTCGGCGCTTCGGCTCTCAATTCCCAATCCCAGCCAGGTCTTACTCAATCTGTCAGTTGATCTACAAAAGCTTCTTCATCACTGGAATCCGCATCTTCATCTTGAGGCAACCCTTCATCATCCTCAGGTTGTGAAGGAGTAATGACTCTGGGTAGAACTGGAGAAGTTGGCTCTGACGGAACTGGTGTGACGAAGGGCGTTGACAGGTCGTCAGTGTCTGGAGCAGGCGGAGTAGGGATGATGGATTCAGCTGAGTTGTGAGGGATAACAAAATTTTCCTTGTTGAAGAGAGTGTCAAGGTTGAGATCATCGTGTCGAATGATGCCTTCAATTCCTGGAAAACTGTTACAGTCAAATGTTACATCATGAGAATAAACAATTCTGCAATCATCCAGCCTTACACGGTAGTTTTTCATACCAACTTGATAACCGAACAAAATACCTTTGCTTGATGTATTGTTGAATTTGCGACGAAACTGCTTCGGAATCAAGACATAAGCACGGCAACCAAAAGGTTTAAGCCTGGAGTAGTCAAATGAGCGACCAAACCATAACTCATAGGCGGATTTGTTGCCGGTTATTTTGGCGGGTGTTATGTTTTCGAGAAACACAGCCGTTGTGACGGCTTCAGCCCAAAAGTTGTACGGGAGTTTGGACTGACGAAGTAGAGTCCTCGCTTTTTCAGTCGTGGTGCAATTGCCTCGTTCTGAAATTGGATTCTGCTGAGGTGTGTAAGGTGCACTTAGGTATTGTGTCGTGCCATCCTTACCAAGAAGCTCTTGAAATTCCTTCGCCATATACTCCCCTCCCTGATCATTCACCAAACTCACGATCTTCTTGTTGTGAAGTGTCTCAACAAGTGACTTATACCGAAGAAAACAGGAAAAAGTGTCGGACTTTAATTTCATGATGAATACATGCTTATAATTTGTACAAGCGTCGGTGAGTTTGAAATAATAGAGACCACCACCAACAGAAGGAATAGAAATCTTTCCGCTCAAATCACTGTGAACTACGTCTAGAGGATGTTTTGCAGTGGGGAAGTGACCAGAGTATGGGAGACGATGTCCCTTGGATAATTTACAAATCTCACAATTCCATTCTGAAGGTGCCGAGACATTGTACATCATCTTAAGGAGGAGGGATTCGGGATGACCACCTTGTCTATGAAGAGTATCATAGTCAGATACAGTGATGTTGGCACGTGGAATAGGAGTGAGATTTGACGTGCCTATGGTGATGTCGAGTTCTATGACTTGGTTTCGAACATGTCCAATGAATCCAGTGCCAGCTTTGCTCATGACAACGTCGTCGACGTGATTCTGAATGGTCCAGCCTTCCATCAATAGAGTACCCATACTGATTAGACAACAACCCAACTCGGGTACGTGAAGAGCTTGCAAGACAATTTCAGCATCGCCAGAGTTGCAGGTGATAGATCCTTTACCGGCAATTTGAATGTTAGCTCCATTGGCTAGAGTTACGTTGGAGGAGACGGGTTGATAGTTGTCAAACATGTCTCGGTCGGGCACCATGTGGTGAGAACAGCCACTGTCCAATAGAATGCAGTCATGGTCTGCCGTGGTTAAGACGAAAGCTTGTGCTTCGAAGAAAGAATTATCGGATACCGCTACCGACGCTCTGGGTTGACTGGCGTTGCTCTGTGTAGGTCGTAAGTGAGGATTGGCCTGATAGCATTCAGCAGAGGTGTTACCTTTTGCTTCAGGGTTGTGTCGTCCGTTGGAGCAATAAGGACGGGCTGGACGACCAAAAGTCAATGGACGTTGGGTAGAGGATCTTTGAAGAGATTGAGGCTGTCGAACAGCGAGAGCGACTGTGGTCGCATGGAGTTCCTCGTCCTTCATGGTGACGAGCTGAGATTCGAGATATGTGATCACCTTGTCGGCGGTGAGGGGTCAATCTTTACGCAGTAAAGTCTTGGTGATGTCCATGGAGGACGGGAGTTTACTAACGATAGTTTCTCCAATGAATTTGTCATGAATGTGTTGCAGTCCATCGACCGCAAGTAGGCCAGCGAGGGCATGTTGGTTGTCCGTGATATAGGACTCGAGATCGTTGAATACGATGTCAGTCCACTTGAGGTAGGCACGAGCTTGATTCTCGTCCGAAGATGCTTGGAAATGTTCCTTTAGAAGTTTCCACATCTGGATAGGATCAGACACAACCTTCTTCGCTACTACGCGCATGCGGTTATCTTGGTCGATGCAACCATACAAGATACCAGCGGCCTTGAGTTTCTTGGCGGCGAAGGAGGCAATCTTGGTTGTATGATCGTTGTCTTTCGATTTGATAGGAGGAGCTGGTGGATGATCCACATTGATGAACTCTTGCAGATTACAAGACATCAGATGAGCTTCAACATCTCCCGACCATTCGACATAGTTGGTCTTGGCCAGCTTCGGAAAATGAACACGTGTAGATGATGAAGAGTCGGTCATATCAAAAGAAAAATTTGAAAAATTTGAAAAGATGATATTCGATCGAAAAATTTGAGAGATTCGCGACTAGTGGAGCGCTGGGCTCATAACCAAACAACTTAAGGTATTACGTCTGTTTCTCTCCCTGATTAAGGATCAAGATCAGACACGGTCTTACTAGAGAAGACTCTGGATGATCGAGAG